AATATTTCGGTTTGAGATCCTATCCGATTTATTTTGGTACGGCATGTCTGCATTATCTCGTGAGTAAATCACACTATTAGTATTTATAAATTTCAAATAAATTCTCAGTGTTTGCCAAAAACTCCGAGACATCCTTTGCCACATTTCACACCATCATAAATAAAATTAAATGGCAAAAACCATTCCTATACATTAATGTCCTATTTACCAGTCCAATTTTAATTTTAATCGAATTTATGTCAAAATAATAATTATTAAATACAGTGTGCTTGGCACAAATTCACCCTTTAATTTTTACATTGATCGTCGTATTCTTAATTTAGTGACTGGTAAATAGTTCATAATCCGCCAAAAATATCACGTTTTCCAAAAATAACATCGATTGCAATTTAACGGTGTGTCAGTGCCACCAAAATAAAAACACATCATCAATTTTAAAGCCGTCGTCATGTGACGTTGTAAATATTGCAGTTCTCGAGACAATCACATCACATGCAAGTTTTATTTATAAAAACATCGCCGAAAATCAATCGATTCGTTTTCTCGTGACTAACACCGTTTTGCATGAAACTACATGTGATCGTCTCAATTGGAAGCCAGAAAATTCGCGTGAAATTTTGCTAATTCGATTTTCAATAAGTCAACTGAAAACAGAGATTTATGTAAATTAGATTTATTTTTGTACTATACTATGTTTTTTTATTTTAATTTAAATGAAATATACCTATTTAATATAATTTTTCTACTCCCACCTACGCCCTTTATCGTACATGTTTCCATGACACTAAAACGCCCTTTATCGTACATGTTTCCATGACACTAAGTGACCTTTTAAATACACATTGACATGTTGTGGCTTTATGGCGCTTTAGTCACGGGCCGAAGTTAGCAACAGGTCACTGGCTGAAGTTAGTTTTACAGTTGTCAAATGTCATACAATCGTTAAAATAAAGTGCCTTTCTTTTAAAATAATACTAAATGTTATTATCTCAATACAAAAATACAAAAGTATTCAATAGTTTCTCAACGCCAATATTTGAAAAGTTTATATGAATATTGTACTGACCTTTTTTTTAATTTCGCCGGCAGTAAACTATAACTTAAATTTTCTTTACTTTCACTGTGAAAAACTGTCAATTTTCAAGAAATACATTTCGATTTATAACCTTTATAATTGTGTTTATAAAGTTTTGACATTTGACGGTGACACACAGGGTTCCCTTAAACTAAAGTAGTTAACTCTCTTGATAAAAAAAATATTAGCGGCAATAAACAATATTTTAGCATAAATTAATAATTATTGCTTGAAGAAAAAAGTTATTAGTGGAAGAAGTATAGTTTTTGGTACCAAGAAATCTCCATCTCTTTATTTAAGCTAATATTGTAATCTCCTTAAACGAAAAGATTAAGCTCTTGGCCTTACTCAAAAGCGCAAATCTTTTGAATCAAAATGATTTTAATTTCTTTTAAGAGATTATTTTTTTGTGTAATAATACACATGTACCAAATTAATACTAATATTCGAACATAATTAAAAACCTGAATTTCGTAGTAAAATTTTTAATACGTGTTGTTTTTGATGCATTAACATACAGACACAATTATTTTTTTTAATCCCCTTATTAGTTAACCATGAACAACTGGTTAGTTTAATTTATTTTCGACTAGTTTCTAGGAGATGTGAATAAATCTGAAAAATTTCGGTTGTCAACCATTGACCTTGCGGTTCCTCTAATTTATGGCCATATGTATAAAACGCTGAGTGGCGTATGCTTTTATAGGCGAATATATTTTAATTAACCTTGGCTGTTTTTGTAATTATTTTTTTCTTATTGTGGTTGGACTATTAAAAGATTACTAAGATACAGATAATTTCTTCTTATAAGTATACTTCTTGTTCTATTGAAAAATTATCTATTATTATTATTTTATTGACTGTTGAAAATTTATTTAATTTATTAGTTCAATTAAAATATTTAATAAAAAACTAATTGTAAATTACAGATAACTGTTAACTTTAGTTTGTAGCCGGGGGCTTAAAGTTTTGCTATTAAACGTAAGAATATACCAAGAGGAATTTAAAATGGGCAATTCATTTAAACATGCCCATAAAATTAAGCATATCTTGCTTAAAACGTCCCATCAATCAAAGTAAATATGCGTATACCAATAACACAACGATTCTATACAGAGATAAACTATAAAGTGCAAATTAAAATTAACAAATTTGCCGACGAAAAACACGGATCAAGAGTGCTGGTAATATCCTTTTAATAGTGCGCGTATTACGGCAGTTGTCAATTAAATATTATTTAATGGTGATGGGAAATCGGGTGTTTATCTTATTTATTACTTTGAGCACATAAAGCACGACATTTAATGGGCGGACATTACAAAATTTGTAGAAAAACTATAATAGCAAGTGATAAAATAAGTTCTCAGTATTTTAGTTTGTTGTATATAACCAAAATTTGCTTTCTTTCTTTCTGCCTAATATTGTAAAAAATCTATTGCCTTATATACAACAAACTAAAATACTGAGAAACTCATTGACTGTCTATAACAAACTGATTATCGTCCTTAGCGAAATCAATTGTTCAGTTCAGTGGTACTTCGATCTTGATTTGCCGGCGGAAAAGCTAGTAAATAGTCGCTAACAATTACATTGAATAGACAATGGGACGTGGACGAGATTTAATGCGTTAGCTGTTTTATTACGACATTGTTTAAATGAAAAATGTATCTAGGCATCTAGCCGACGCAACATCGGACTTTACCATACGGGCCCATCGACTTAATTCACCATAAAGGTTGCTGAAAGTAAAAGTGACTTTGCTTTCGATGATGATTAATAAATTCGTTAGTTACTTTTAACTTTTAAAGAAAGTCGATTTTTCCATTTTTTACAAACATTATTTTTTACCCAATACCTATTTTTTCATAATATAAATATAATAAAGAAACAAAACGCTGTTTTGCAAGAAAATTTTGTTCCATTAAAAAAAAATGCAAAATTTTGTACCATCATTTATCTACTGTATTATGTCAAATTTCAACTATGAATGGGTATTGGGTAAATTAGCTACATAGCCAATGATAGTATTTGATTAAAAATATATATATATACAATTTAAATTTTGCAGAAAAAAATATTTGTATAAAGGTAATATGAAATTTTCTAAGCACTTTGTTAATTTCAAAGTTTACAGATTATATTGTTAATATTTAACAAATTATTTCTTTGAATACTTAAGTACGCGTGATTTCAGGCAGCCAATCAAAACATTTCCCACTGACAATACCCATCAACAAGTTTAACTGACTTCAGCGTCTGCAACTTATGTTTCTGCTTACTTTATTCTAATTCGTAACGTGTTTATAATATATTACCAGAAATCTGTTATTATTGTTATTCGGATTCCTTATACCTATTTAACTAATGTGCAAAGTTCGAAGTATCCGAAAAAAGATGCCATCACTGGTTTTCAAACTGAAATTAGGGGATATAGTGAAGTGGGTTAAAGTTGCGAAATACATCAGTAAGTGTTGTAGTAGTACTGATATTGTACAAAATTTCTTTATAATATGATTATATATATATATTAGAAAATTAATTAATTTCTTATCAAAATTCTTTTCATTTAAGTTCCCAATTTCCAACAAATACTTTTGTTAATTGGTCTACAAAAAGGTTTGTAAAAATAAGATTATTTTTGTAAATTACAAGAATTATGGTTGAATTATTAATGTAGGATTTTGTTATTAAATCTACAAAATATATTATAATTACAAACTTTAGTTAGTATACTTATTCAATTAGGTTGTAAACTTAAAAAAAGTTATGCGAACCTGAATTAGCATAAAATCTGGTTAAAATTGTGTAAAAGTATCAAACTAAATTATAACAACTGCTCTTTTTGAACTATAAAAATGTAAAATATATATAAATATTGATTAAATTTTAGCCTTCATATTGCATTTGTGTTTACGATTTTACGGTGTTATTTACAAGTTTTAAGATACATTTTTAAAAAAACAATAAAAAATAAGTTATTTAGTTTACGAAATAGCATTTATTAATTATTACAAACCTTTAAATTAATGGAATTTTGTTTAAAAACTAAATTTATTAATTATTGTTTATAAATTTGGACAAATATGTCAGATTTTATTAAATTAAATTAAATTATTAAATTATTTTTCATTCAACATTTTTCAAGAAAAACTGAACTAGTTTAACCGATTAAATTCATAGTATTTATTTTTGGTTAAATTAGGAGTAAATAGTTACATGATCAACATACTAAAGGTATTAAAAGTATTGAAAAAAACAACTGCTCTTTCTGAACTATAAAAATGTAAAATATATGGGGCATTCCACTCCAAATCGGATGGTTTCAAATATATTTTTTTTCGAAAAGTAAATTTAAAAACAAAAATTTTATATAGAATGAACATTTTGATTTGGACCATTTTTTAATTTTATGAGCGAAAAACAAAAAAAGCAGTTTTTTTTGAAAATTTGATATCTTTTGAACCCGTGATCAAAAAAATCTCAAAATTTAATGAGAAAGGTCTTTCAAGGAGTCCTAAAAAATATAAAAAATTGGAGGAATCAAAAATCTATCCGATTTGGCGTGGAATGCCCCATATATAAAATTGTTATCAAATCATATAAATAATTTTTCAAAATTTTTAAACCACTCACAAAAATTAAAATTCCGACCTCAAGAATTGGTCATGCCTGATTAAAAATTCCAAAAATTTTTAAAACACTTTGTATTTAAATTTATTAAGCCAATTGGGAGAAATGAAATCAAATATATCACTTTTTGTCTTATTTGATTAAAACCGGAAAACATTTTTTAAAAAACGTAAATTTCTGAAGTCAGCATGACGATTTGCCGAAGCTCAATACGAAAGCGCAACAGTTGTCAACGAATGGGGATGATAAAATCAAAACTTTAAAGGGTAAAAAAAAATAAAAAAATGGTACATACACTTGTTCTGATGAAGATGCAAGTTATAGGAAGCGGTAGCGGTAGTGTTGTTGTTGGAGTCGGTTTGCCGCTGCTCTTGCCGATGGTGGCTAATGTAATTTTGCTGCCGTTCGAGCCTCAACTGGTGCCTGATAGTCTGAGGACCGCTCCGCATCTCTTCCGTTTGGCATCGCAAATTATAACTAAGACGGACGCACACTACAGACAATTTTTCTCATGCAACAGCAAACTACATTTATGGGGGTGATAACATCAAAGTCACCTGAGGAGTCCTGGAGGAAGAACTCGGGAGAGCGCGAGCCTTCCCGGCTGAGGTTTGGAGACGAATCCACCGCGAAAGAGAGCCACTTCATAGGGCCATCATTACCACACAAACACTACTATCACCATGTGCAAAAACAGTCCTTGGGAAACAGTTTTTTTCTCGAATCACTTGATAAACACTATATTGTAGATGGATGTCTTAACGTCGGTCCAGATGCAGTTCTTGGTGTGTAGTAGGTACCTATAGTTCGAGAGTGAGTGTGAGGTGTTTAAACTCGCGGTGTTCTGCGAACGTCTTCGTCGAGCGGTCGCAGTCACTCTGTATCCCTGCCACACTCAATCGGTCCATTATAAAACCGCGGTTCTCGCTACCGATGACGTCACTACCGCAGCGCCGTCGGTGACGTCACGGAGGATCGATCCCGACCGCCGCCGCCCGTTTCCCCATTCGATCAGATCGCGCACAGTGACGTCACGGTTGTGACGTCGCCTTCGATCGACGAAGGCGTCCCCCGCACCTCCGCGGCGCCGCGACGGCCATGGCATAGACCGTGGGACGACCGATCGAGCAGGAAGGCGGTGTTGCCGTACTTCGCCGAGCGGAAGCGACGACATCGTCCTGCAGGAAAAAATATATAATAATATTGCTTTTGTACAAACTTGAAAAACGCGCATCACTAAAATGTTTTGAAATTGACATAGGGTATTTCCATTGTAACGTGTGTGACACTAAAACTGAGTTTTTTAATGATAATAAAGTGTTTGTTCATATATATCAAGATACGTTAATATAACAAAATGTCAATAAACACTTGTATAGAAAACCTTTTATAACGTCATGAATAGCGTAACGGGCGCGACCTTAGAAAATCGGCAAATGCGACCAAGTTGGCTTCTAAAGTTGATACTGTATAATTTTGGATGAAAGCATGTAGTAATAATTTTTTGTGTAAAACTTGTGGTGAAACGTTTGAGTTTTCACAGAGATATTCTCAGGGAGGTTCTTTGGGGTAGTGAAAGTCCGGATGACGGAGACAGATTATTTATTGCTATATAAAATAAAGATAAATTAGTGCTATGCCGCGTATTAATATAAAATTAGTTAAAGTTGATGACAATAAATATTACTAAAAATTACAAATTATGTTTTTATAATATAATGCAAACTTATTATATTATATTATGCAAACTTAAAAAACGACTTACCTATATAAAATGAGCAGGCACAGCACAATTAACAATTATTATAATGTAAATGCACTTAAAAGCCAGCAGCTCTTTTCTCCAGCAAGGTGGAATAAAATGACGCGGCGATATTGGTTTACCTATACCGGTAGGTTTCATATAAAAACGTTTAAGTAAAAACGCACGCGGCAGTTTCAAATGTTTAACTTAATAAACTAATGGTTAAATATTGCGCGAAAAATAACGGTTTTGTTACAAACTTGAATAGTAACCTTAAGCAAACACGTATTTTAAATGCACAAATATTGTATACTTTATTTTCTAAAATTTTCTCAAAATGAAACGGCATAAAAAAGTTTTTCTTGCTTAAAGAAAAAAGTTCTTAGTAGAAGAAGTATAGGTCTCTTGAAAACAAATACAAAATCTCTTGAATGTTTCTTCTTTCAACCAAGTGCAAAGTGTTTTTCTTCAAAAGCTATAACTATAATTTTCATATATGAAAATTATTTATATTTGAGCAATTCATTCAAGATACATCACAATTATCCCAATGACATGTCAATTTTTGCAACAAAATCTGGAATATTCTGATACATGAGAGGGGATGCAAAACGCGCATACCGTTTGCGGCACACGTGTTTAGTACGTTTTGTATCATTGCAACTTGCAATTCGCCATTTTCTAAGGGCATACAATATCATAATTCTATTATAGGTATTCCTAATATATACATTTTGCCGGTTGTGTTGTATTGCCGCGTGTTGCATGTAATTTCACAGTGGAGTTGGAATTATTAAAACTCTTTTTAAATAAATGAAATTTAATTAATTTGTTTAATGTTTTTGAATATTTTATAATACAAATTTTATTTTATATCATATTTATGTTACTTTATTAGTGTTGGTATACAAAAAACTTGCGCTTTTGTTGATATTTAACAATAAATGTCTTATTTTATTTAAATATTTTTTTGTGAACCTTTTTTTCAAATGCAAATATTAAGGCTTAAACTCCCCTTACTACGAAGGTCCTTGATTTTAATTGTTAAATGCATGTTTCAATAATTAAAATCAAAAGGCCTATGTGGTGAGGGGAATTTAAACTTAAATGCTAACAACGCTGGTAGTTTCAGTGAAGATCAGAAGATTTTGAATAAAGCAATACATACTATTGGACCAACAGATATTTGCTCTAAAATCAAAATAAAATGTAATTAAAAAAAAAATATGTGAAGATAGTTTCTGATTTAGATTAAGAAACCCTATTCAAAAGCGCAAAGTGATTTTCATTTCTTTTAAAAATAAGTTAAAAAGGGTAAAATAAACCAATCAGTCATTAATATATCATAATAAATAAAAAAAATATATCTTGTTCTTTGCATATCAATTTATATTCAAAAAATAAAATTTAATATAGCAACTCTATGAATTCGTTCACTTGGCAACACTCACAATTCTCTATCTCCTTCATTCCGATTTACGTCGCGCTTGCCTGATCGATATCCGTATCCGAGATTTAATTTCAAAGTTTTTCCTATTTTATTCTTGCAACGAACTTCTTCATTTGAACTTTCGTTTTGTTTTGATGTTTACATCATTCGTAACATAAATATTATTGTATAAGATTTTTTTTCGAACTATTGGCTATGTTTTTGTTTTTTTAGTGATCTGCCTACGTTCTTAAATTATTTTTCGTTTTAGTTCTTGAATGTTCTCAGATGGTGTTTTGTGGACTTGTGTTTTTAAATAACCCCAAAGAAAAAAATCAAGTGTCGTTAACTCTGGAGATCTTGCAGGCCATTCTTGAGCACCTCTTCTACCAATCTATTTCTCGGAAGATCTTTGGTTCAACCATTCTCAGACTGCCCTTGTAGCACAAAGATATTGGCCCAATATTTATAAGGACCTATAATGAAGATCTTCATGTTTCTTTGCAACAAAGACAAATCATGAAATGATCTCAAAGAAATGACGTATTTGCTTTAAACCCTTCATTCATTTGGACCTACCCAAAGTCCCCATTCCTTTGAGGGAATGGCAGATTTCCTTGGGGCAAAGGTTTCTTTTTTTCAGTGTATAGGACCAATATTTTGTGCTACTGTGGTGGTAGAGCATAGTGAGGATGAGCTCCATCCTGTTGAAAGTACATATGTCCTTCATCAAGCAGAATGTTTCCTTGTTAGTCCATCTGACTTTCTAATGACTGGGTAAAAAGTGGGTCTAAAATTTTCAAGAAAATCAAGATATAATTGTTCAGTCAAGTTTTGATAAATAGCGGTCCAATTATTTCGTTGCCAAGAATACTTCAGTCTTAAAATTCATATCCCGGCAACATGTTTTACTTAAATCAGCTATTTGCGATCTATTTGCAATTGATCACAGAAAACAGTTGCCGCTCATTTGGCCCACGCTGAAAACGTTTTCCAGGAGCGCCATTTCAGTCTTGTGCCCCGTGAAAATTCGGAAAATCTGTTTCCCTCTCTGTCGCGTCCGCAGCTTCGCTTTTCATCCCACGTTGTTTTGCACGTAGCTACGTCATTAAGCTCAGTGTGCTGTTTGAAAACATGTTCGTTGAATTATTTTTATTTATAATAAACTGGAAACGGAAAACGTTTCCCATTGCAAATAAAATCAATACAAAATTATGGATTTAAAAATAAATGTTTAAAAGTTAAAAAAACATTATATATAAGTATATAATATAGTATATGTAAAGGGTGGGCCATCTATAAGTTGAATTTTAAACTACGTGCTATTAATGAAGCTTTCAACTTAAGCGCCATGAATTGCTGACAGTGGTTTAGTTTTAACCTTCCGATTACAAAATATGCACCGAATAAATTTGGATCAACGTTTAGAAATACTCAAAACTTACTTTGAATGTGACTGTGATCGCAAAGACGGCAAGAAAATTGCGTTTGGAAGAAATGAGGCGCCGTCAAACCAAAGTATTACAAATTTGATCAAAAAATTGCGCATAAATGGAATGCTGGTGAACATAAAACATGTTTCGCATGCTCGTCCTAGACGTACACCTGAAGCAATCGCTGATGTGGCCGAAAATGTACGCATACGCGTCAACATCAACTCGGCGCAGATGTCAACAACTCGGCCTTTCCCGTACCACTCTGAGGATGATTCTGCACAAAGACCTCGGTATGTTTGCGTACAAAGTCCAGCTTGTTCAGGAGTTAAAGCAAGTTGACCATCCACAACGTTTTCGCTTTGCTGAGTGGGCTTTAAACCAGTTGAACGATGACCCTAATTTTGCAAGAAAAATCATCTTTTCGGATAAGGCGCATTTTTACCTCGGAGGTTATGTCAACAAGCAAAACTGTCGGATTTGGGCTACGGAAAATCCTCACGTCGCCGTAAAAAAGCCTATTCACCATTTAAAACAAAACATTCAAGCTCAAATTGCCTAAATAGAGCAGCAAACTTTTGACAAAGTGCTCGAAAATTGGTGTTCCAGGATGGGCTACTGCCGAGCCAGCTGAGGTGGCCACTTAAATAAAATCATTTTCCATACTTAATCGGAAGAAACATTGTATCAAATAAAGCAAAATTCGTTGCAAAAAAATCAGTTTTTCTTGTTCTCATTGCTATTTTATAATTCAACATAAACATGGCCCACCCTTTAGTATACTAAGTGAAAATGGCATTCCACAACATAGTATAAAAAATACAACAAATTTAGGTTTTAAATTTTAAAAATAACATTTTATTTATTTTGTCCATTTCCACCATTATCGTACATGCTTTATGCTGTTTAGTTACGTGCTGAATTTAGCAACAGGTTGAAGTTAGTTGTTAGTTATCAAATGTCATACAATCGTTAAAATAAAATGCCTTATTAAAATTCGTGACTAAATGGCTACAATGTTTTGAAAATATTTATTTATACATCAATTTTCTAAAGACATTTAACCAACTGAATGGCTTGTGCGGGTTAGGGGTAGGAACGGACCGCGGGCTTAAAGTCCCCTCCGAAGGACTATTACACAATAGGACAAACAGTATACAATAAATACACATTTTAGTAATAAATTACGTGAAAATTGTAAACATTTCAATTTAGTGAAAATCATAAAAGAAATATATCGTCTAAATTCAAACAGCATTTAGCATTATTAAAAGCGTTTATTAAGAAAGTCACTCAACAGTAAAATACCAAGAACCGGTATTATATTATGTATTAGGTATAATATTATGTTGCCATGAATTCTTAGAGCCGTTTCACATGCGACTGATAA